AAGTTCTGTGAAGAATTGCTTGTGGCCCTCAAGACGAGCACTGACGTGTTTTTGCCACAGGGACGGGATAAGACGGAGTTGAGGTTGAAGATCCCGGTGAGAGGAGTAGGAGGGGGGAGTGGGTTTGTGAATGGGGTTTTCAGAGTTGGGTTTTTGCCACGGGTTTTGGGGTGAAGAGATGTAAAGCTGTTTTTGTGTCGCGAATGACGGGTCGTGTTGGCATGGGTTAAAGAATAAACAAGAGGAAGCCAGACAAGAATTGTGGAACATTTCGCGCGCAACATCCGTTTGCTCCTTGCTGATTGCCTTTTTGAATCCACCATCCGGAACCAGATCCGGAACATAGTTGGACTTTCTAACTGTGCTGTCCCTGTTTATAGCATCCTTTAAAAAAAACGGGAATGAGGTCTCGAAAGTAGCCGACTGTATAAGAGGCGTGGCAGCTTCTCCGAGTCCTGATGGTGTGACTACTCCAGCGACCACTCGTCCTTTCTTCTTTGAATCCGGCGTCGCATCTCCGTTACGAACTCACACACGGTCGGTAGGTGGGTATCCCGACGCCGCGGCGATTTCTCCAAGGTGAGCGAGTGGATTTTTGGTGGGTGAGACAAGCGGCTGATGATTGGGGAATAGTCGTCAATTCAGGTCATGTGCCCTTCCCCTCCCACGAGATTGGCCCGCCGCTGTTGCTGCTGCTCTGAGGACTAGCCGCAAACCACAAAATCCCTTGGATTCGGCGTCGGCGCTCGCGGATACCTTGCTCTCCTGCTCGACGTCCGACTTCCCATCGCCGGTCTTACACTCCATCGTCGCCCTATATACCTTCCAGCGCCCACGCTTATGGTTACCCATTTCTTCCCAAAAAAAGGAAAAAGACAATTTTTTGGGGGGTAGAAGTTTCGGTAGGGGTGTGGGGCGCCTACTCTCAAAACGTTCGGTCGGCGACCCAAAAAAAAGAAGGAACGAATAACCCCCGAACACCGACGAACGTGATACGTTTTTGGTATCGTCGTGTTCTTGCTCCTTCAGCCAGTGCTTCAGTCCGCCTAAGGTTCGTCAAAGCGCTCTCATCATCAAACGCCGAAAGTCCACTCTCACGGCGAAACTTCGGTCTTGCAAGCTGCTTTGGTTTTTAGAAGAGGATTGAGCGGAAACCCCGATAATTCAAACGCACACAAGGCAGCAACCGCTCTTCCAACTGGCATCGAAGTGGTGTCGAATATAGTCAACAAACACCACTGCTATAGAACTCGCTCTTTCCCTGATAGTTTTCTTGGTACCTACAAGTGCATCATCCGTAGAACGGCTCGAAGTAGGGACGTGTCCCTGGCCTCCCTCCACCAATATCGTGTCGTTTGCAAACAACTCGAAAGATAGCTTTTTGGGGGCGTTTGGTTGCGAACAATGACGTTCGGAGCGGGGGCCAAACACTTCACCGACGAGGGCTTTGAGGAACAAACTTGCGCTATACCCCAACAAGTCATAGGATGGAACGAGGAACAGCGAGCTGGTAGGTCTCATTCACTAGTTTCTCACGGTCCTTCTTCCCCACCCCCCCCTCCGCCCTTGCCCCCGTGTCCGCTCAAGCGTCGTGCTCCATAACGAACCAAGCTAACCCTCGCCTTGCTCTTGTTGTCACCAGAATTAGCTTTTCAGCTACTGCTGACTGTGTCGACGTCGACACTATCTGCAGTTACGAACCGACTCTTACCGTTGTTACAATGTGACTTCATATCCGCCTTACCATATGAACTCGCCCTGCACGTTTTATCTTTCACGGACGCACGAACTCTTGGAAGGGCCGCCCAAGTTTCTCGCAAATGGAGGCAGGCGGCTAGCGACAACGCTGTATGGAGGGCCCTTTTCTATCGAAATGGATGGACTGTCAATGATAAATTTTTGGATATGCTCGTCAACAACAACCAAACTCAGTCACCATCCCCTCCCCCACAGACATTACTTTGCCGACCACCCGGTACTGCATCCGCCTCGCGGCGGCGGAGGAGAACATCCTCGTCGGAGGCGGACCGCGAGGATGGGGTGGGGGACTATGATGACGAGGTGGTGAATCACCAAGAACCGGCTGGGTCGACACATGCAACATTGGACAGGGAGGATGGGATAGGCACGGGGAGTTTGCCGAGGAGCATATCATCTGCGCAAATGATCCCCGCGCCTGACCCAGAGATGTGGGCTGACAGTGGATCAATTGCAGCGGCCGGTGGGAGCAGCATCAGTACATCAATCGAGCATGTCGGATTTCCTGATGTTTCGTCCGTTTCGCTCCACGACCCCCTCTCCGCGTCCTCGTCGCCCATCCATGCAGCCGCGTCACCTTCGGCGGGCCGCTCGCCAACAACCCACACAACACAACACTACCGGTCCCCATCTAACACTCCACACCATCTTCATCGCTCACGTTCAGGTTCTCTCACAACGTACCCGCATCCATTAGTGCTCCCAAATGTGTCAAGTAGCTCGCAACAGCTTGCCAACTCGTCAACTTCGTATACCCCACAATCATCATCATCATCCACAGCATTAACCGCAATATCAACAGCATCATCTTCCACCACATTCACACCCATATATTCGTCTTCAACTCAAGAACCCTTATCACCACCCCCCATATACACGCCATCACCGTCAACAACCTCGGCACTCATCACCTCCCCATCCAGCAGTTCTCTCGCACCTTTGAACTCCTCGCAACAACAACCAGCTTCCTCGTCTTCATCATCCATGCCTCCCCCGCCTATGATGTCGAAGGGGAAATCATCCCTTCGATCTAGTTCGTACTTTCGAGGGGGTGATGACCGCCACGCAAACTTGAACTGGAAGCATATCTTCTCTCAAAGAGCTCTGTTGGAGAAGAATTGGAAAGAGGGTCGGTTTGTTCCTCGTGAGCTTGTCGGTCATGAGGAAGCTATTTACTGCCTGCAATTCGATGAAGACAAGATTGTATCGGGGTCCAGAGATCGTAAGTCACTCTCATCTTCGTTGTTGTCGTCCTGAAAGTGACCTTTGTTCTTTCCTGTTTTCTGTTTCGTCCTTTCGGACACATTGAAGCGGAGATTTAAGTCAAACTTCCACCTCAATCTGCTCTCCCTCACCAGACACCATCAAAATCTGGGACACGAAATCCGGTGCCTGTCGCGCAACCCTTCGTGGTCACACCGCATCTGTTCTTTGCCTCCAATACGACGATGAATACATCGTTTCTGGTTCCTCCGACTCATCAATCGTAGTTTGGGACGCGAAAAGCATGTCAAAGCTCCGAACCATGTTGGGCCACGCCGAGTCTGTCCTGAACCTTCGGTTTGACAAGGATGTGATTGTGAGCTGTTCAAAGGATAAGGCGGTCAAGATTTGGAATACGAAGACCGGGGCGTTGATTCGGACGTTGAGGGGGCATAGGGCTGCGGTGAATGCGATTCAGTATCGGAATGGGATGGTTGTTTCGGCCAGTGGTGGTATGTATAGTCTCTGGGCAGTTCTGGTGTTGCTTTGCGTCCTTTCTTTTGTGTTGGTTTTGTGGAGAGAATTCGTTGTCGAACCTATTGCTGATGTTATCATGAAATTTCATCCAACAATAGATCGATCTATCAAGGTGTGGAATATGGCGACCGGGGAAGTGCTTCGGACTCTAACGGGTCACACCAGGGGAATTGCATGCATCCAGTTCGACGGGAACATCATTGTTTCTGGGTCCTCTGGTAAGGTTTTCCTATGTCTTCGAAGTCCGAATGTCACAAATTCCCAAAGCCAAAGCTAACCCATCCAATTATCATCACAATCATAGACAAAAGCATCAAAATCTGGGACTCAAATACCGGATCCTGCCTCCTCACCCTCAACGGCCATCTCGACCTCGTCCGTACCCTCCAGTTTGACCGCTTCCGCATCGTCTCTGGGTCGTATGATGAGACACTCAAAGTATGGGACGCGAAGACCGGCAGCATGTTGTTGGATTTGAAGGAAAGCGGGCACCGGAGTCGAGTGTTCAAGTTGCAGTTCAATGAGACGAAGATTGTTAGTTGTTCGCAGGATCAGGTATGAGTGCTTTTCAATTCGATCGTATGTTTGGGGAATTCGTTTGCACGGGTTTGTTAACATTCGGACCTTCTTCGTCATCCGCAAACAGAGCATTATCGTGTGGGACTTCTCTCAAGGTGTCGACACGCGATACTTCGTCTGAAATCCCTAAAACAGTTGCATCATGCGGAGACCCAGACCAAGGCGCAAGGAACGACATGACGCATCGGATTCCGCGCCAGCTGTTCGGGATGGTGGGGAAACCCAAGGAAACCGGGCTCGTCGAATGCTCACACCTTGATGCTCACAGCTGAAATGCTGGTCGAAGCGGAGAGCTGGTCTCTGGCCGCGTCAATTTGCGAACTTGGTGCACGTTGAGATGAGAGGGGAGGGGGGCCGGGTCGAACCGGGCACTGGGGGAAGATGAGGAGACCAGGAGACAACAAACATTTTTGATCATTTGCTTTCTTTTTTAATTTGGATCTTTTCTTTTCATACATTTACCCTTCTGATACACTGATGCATGAATTATTTAGTTTTTTTCTTCTTTTCCGGGGTAGTGATGACATAGTGATGTTATATGATTTGTTACCGTAAGGGGTTTTGGTTCGTCCTCTTTGAGCTATTTCTCTGGTCTTCTTCGTCAGTGGCAACGTACACGCTCACCTCAGCTGACCCTTGGAAGGCAAGAACTTCTCTCTTGATTGTTTGTTTGACCACTCTCTTCGACTTGTTTTTTTGTCCGAAAAGTAGTTTTGGAAGTTGAGGGTGGGAAGTAGTTAGTTCAGTCGGTTGAAGAAGTTGTGGCAATAACGACTTGAAGTGTACGATGGTTTTCTGAATGTTTCTGCGGTAAATTTACACCTGAAATGATACCGGCTGAGAATGGGGCAGCGGAAATAAACACCACACTTCATGTTCGGCAATACGAAATAAGTATAATTAAATGCCTCCCTTAGAATCAACCGGCCTTAGCTCAGTTGGTAGTAGCGGCAGACTGTAGTGCATACCGTGCGAAGACATCTGTAGGTCCCTGGTTCGACTCCGGGAGGCCGGAATATTATGCATCTGCGTTTTTGTCACCTTTGGAATTGGTAGGGATTGTTATATTGTTTGTTTTTTACGCCTTGCACGGTGAGGGAATGAGGTTGGCTATAATCGCTGGTACCTTAGGGGCTAAAGAACGGACTGATTCACGCGCGTCGTTCAATGTGTTGTGCGGGTTTTCTGAGAGCGGAGTCCGTTTCCCCACGATGGATCCCTTGTATTCTTTGGTGGTCCTATCTCGGTATTAGGTTTTTAGCGTCGTCGAACTCGCAGTTCTGGTGTGACTTACCAGCCCAATCACAACCGGCACCCTCGCAGGTGGGTTTGTCGAAGTGGAGAGGTATCAGTCCTTGAGTTTTTTGTTCTGTAGTGTGGGTTTAGGACACGTACTAAGAGGACGAAGTGTGTTCGGAACCTTGACTGCACTCTTCGGCATCGCCCGCGAGCCCTTTGCATTTGGTACCAAACCATTTGACCAGTATTTTGTATTTTCCCCTCTCTATACGAATGGTAAAAGTATGGTTACTTTTGTTGTCAGACTTTCAATAGTGTTCATCATAGATGGGGTGGGCAACGGTCCTCCTGTGTGTTCGGAGACACGCCTTTCCCCCCCTGTCCATCTGCGAACACCGTATGCCTTCCCGTTCTCCGCTGTTCTGAAGAATCCTTTTTTAAATATTCGGTTGACAGTCTGCGTCCATTTCGCATCATCTTCATATGAGAGCTGGGAACGCTTCAGACAAATCCAGCCCGCCAGCAGACCATTCCATCAGTATGGATTCTGGCTGGGTCTTGTTTCAGCTGGGACTCTGGGAGGTTGACACCGAGGACAGGGTCATTCTCTTGTTGCAAGACGATTTGTTTTGGTTCGCGTAAGGTTTCTTTCTATTTCTTCGCTGCTCAGACTGATTACCAACCGGAAGCGACGTGCAATTTCATTGCCTCTGCTCGTCACATCGCCTTTCTGCCTTTTCACAGCAGAATAAACGTTGCTTGCTTGTGCGTTGCCGGTGCCGTGGCGTTTTTATATAGTTGTTTTGGTGTTGTCTATTCATTGGTGCCATTCGCCGGATCACATAAGATCTGATGTACCATCTTGAAAATCCAGACAACCATCACGTGAGGCGAAACGTATGGTGTTTGTAGGGTCGTCTGTATCTTCCTCATCTTCATTGTTGTTGTTGTCGTCTTTGTCTTCGTTGTCCTCTTCTCTTCCATCTTCATCTTCTCCGTGTCCTCCTCTGTCTTCTCCATCCCTCTCCCGTGCTCTTCCTCATCCAAATCCATCTCCCCCATATCCGGAGTGAGAGCCGCGGACGCAACCCAGATATGTAAAGGGCCAAGGACGCGAGAAGACCTGATGTGACCTGATGTGTGCAAGACATTTTAAACTTGAGTAAACCAGGTCATAAAAAAGTACGCAATTTCGGCTGAACAAATCATGATTCCCCGTGATTGGCGTGATTGATTGGAGAGAGATCATTCGAAACCTCACTCTACACATTTCTCGTGCGAACAGGCAAAAAAACAGGAACAATGTCGACCGCCGACGCCATCCCCCCTACGCCACCACCTGGACCTCCGCTGAGCAATCCCAGAAGAAGCGCCACCGGTCGTTCATCGTCGAGCATTTCGTCCAACCCCGCACCAGCTCCGCCTCGGAGCAAACCAGCAAAACAGCCCGATGAAATTCACGAGCACCTCGACCGGACGCATCATGATACCATATTCGAGACACAGACTATAGCTCCAGCTCCGGGAACCACTTACTACCAACTAGCGGTTCTGACTGGAGATCGTATTGTGCTGAGGGATTGGCCCAGGCAGCGTATGTCGCAGAAGTGGACCCGAGATGGGGCGCTGAACCCGGGGCAAACGGCCTTCACCTACGAAGACTTCTTGGCTGGCGAAATGAAAGAGAAACTTGTTTGGATATTCGGCGAGCACACTTACCAGATCGCCCTGGAGAAAGCTAAAGCCGCTAGATATCGTGCTTAGAAGCGGTGGACGATACAGTTTGTTTGAGTTGAGCTTAGTCGTCTTCTTCTGTGGTCGAGAAAGACAAGAGGCCAGGAATGAAATACAGACAGATTCGACACAATGGGATGTTTTGAAAGAAAGTGACAAGCAAAATGCTTTTGCACAGATAACTAAATTCACAGAACGAAGTGTATTTGTATTCTCATATTATGTTTGTTTAAAAGAAACCTTTGTGTAAACAATCCCGATGAAATCATCAACCGTGCGTTCATGTTACATGCCGGGGTCTGTTCCGATTTCCAGAAATGTGATTCGTGCTTCGACATCGTGTTCTAGTAACAGAAAAGAAACATTTGTCAGGGATACGATCAGAGGTTAATTTTCCATGTTTCTGAACTCAGGTCCGAAGCAAAGGCAAAGAAACTGACGTGTGGAGATTGGCTGAACGTAAACACAGCCCCGGGAAGCCCCGGGATTTTGGCTTGAGATGAATGCTATGACTCAGGGGGAAACAAGAAAGTCGCATGTTAGGGAGCAAACGCGAGAACAGTCTGCGACAAACGCGAGATGAGTAGAAAGGATAAGGAATAGAAAGATAATCCGTCACCACGAAAATTACCACGCTCTCGCAATCCAGACTGAGCCAGGTCATGCTGACGTCAACCAACCGGAGTCTGATGCAAGAGTCATTATCAAATTCACCACCATGCAGCGCCTAAAGCTGATTCAAATACTGGGTACGAATGCGAACATCCTCTTACCCCTTGTCGGCGCGACGTGCCATCTTCATCTGCACATCACTCTCCCCCGTTTCTTCTGAATTCAATACTTGATATGTCTCCAAAACTTATATGGACGTGTTTGCTGCATCCTCTGCATTTGATACTGACTGCAAATAGATCCGATCGAGGAGATGTCACATCCCTCTCTCCTAAAAACACGACAGGAAACCTCAGGAAGCATGGGATCCCTCGATTCGAAGAACGGATGCAGGCTGGACCGGTCCCCTTCCTTCACGAAATTCCACTCCGACTACATAAATCCTCGAGTCATCCAGAAGCCACTCGAATCCGATTTCGAAACCCCCAGCGCAAGCCGAATACTCAACGCTTTAGATCTCTCGCATTCCGACAGCGACGAAGATGATGTGCCTAGACGGAGGCAGCGCATCGACCCAAACCGCCTTTATCCCACTTCGAAACCGCGGTCACTTTCTCGTGGTACTGACCGGAAGCGCCAGCCACAGCATAATCCCTCGTCTCTGTCAAAAGTTGTGGCGAAAGAATCCATCGAAATGTTAAATGAGGATGGAAACAAGATGTGCCTCACTAGTCAGGGCAACCAATTCGTCCTTGATGGTCGCCATGGGGTGTCGCTCTTCAGTGACTTCGAACAACCCTTGACTCTACCCAAACCATTGCCACCAGTACCGTGCATCGGAAAAGCAGCTCATTCAAAGATAACTCCGAAAGTCAAAAAGAAGAGAAAGAACTCTACGGGGTCGTTGTCTTCCATTCCGCAGTCAGCAACGGAACACGTGAGGACCAATTCGTGTCCTCCAGTCATGCCTCCGCATGGTATGCCAGACAGGAAGACGAATAAAGAGGAACGGCACAGAACAAAGAGCGAGTGTGTGGTCGGAAAAGGCACAAAGTCCTCACTTGGCGGTGATAAGAAGACCAAGGGGAAGGAGACGCGCAAGATTTTTGGTCTGGGTCGACGGATATCGAAGATTGTGCGTGATAAGGGCAAGGAGGTTGAGCAGGTTGAGAGCTGGCCGGGTTTGGAGGAAGCACGGAAGGAAATACACGACACACATGGAACGTTGAACGGGGAGGACGAGGGGCCCAGCCTGTGCAAAGCGGCGAGTGGGGAAATGACCCAAAGAACTTTAGGCCAGGCATCGAGTCATTTCCTGACAGGGAGCGAGACCTTGTCGAGAAAGTCTACCACTCCTTGGCCCGGAGAGCCCGATATGGCGCATGAGGGGACGTCGAATCAACAGGAGAGGCCGGCAGATGATGAGAAAAGAAGAGGCATTTCGAAAACGATCCACCGACGCGTCTTGAAGAAAATCGATAAAATTTTCCGCAAGGCTGCCGATATCAACGAGTAATGGGTTGAACAGCATTGAACGGCATTGGAGAAGAGATAGCAAAATCAGCGATGCTCGTTTGCGGTCTGAAAAATGATGGGAAACGGGTTCGCTCAATATCTTAACATGTATCTTTCCCCCGACATCCTGTATACCCCATTCTCTCCACGCCTACGTGTAATGTGAAGAGCCTGAAACGAAGGGGCAAAAACGCAAAACAATGACAAACTATGTGTGCAAAGTATGCACACGAAAGCATCAACTAAAACGCAAACACACGTTGGGGGAAATTTCAATGCTGTCCTGGAAATCGCCTGACGATAAAGACGTTCAAAAACACGCCATGCTCTTTCTAGTCTTGAAGTGCGAACCTTTCCTGCCTTACCTTAACTCAAAGAAGGTCCTATTCTGTGGTATTCACAGAGCTTGAAGAAACTAGAACTCAAGAACGGTGAGCATGATTTCGTGAATCTGAGTTTTCTGGTTGTGCGTACTTCATTACGAAAATTGATTGAGTTGAGTCATTGTGACTCATCTGTCCAAGTTTGAACACCATATATACTGCTCATCAAAGACGTTAAGGAATGAGGAGAAGCCGCCGACCGCGAAGCGTTCGAGATTTCGGCGCCTGGGGTCGGTGCATGCGTCTCATGAATTAAGTCTCACCAAATGTGTAGGGATCATCAGCAAAACGAAAGACGGGCACCCGAAGTTGAAAGCTCCCTTCAATTTATTCTAGGGATGCGGAATAACCCCGATTTCCTTTTTTGGGGGGGGGGGCATAACAAGAGATTTTCAGGCCAAAAAGAAAGAAAAACAAAAATGACATCACATACGAATCAGCCAATTATATTTAGCAGGTAGCAGAAGATCAACCATAATAAACCGCTAATTTCCGAAGAATATTAGATCCAGAACCATTCACACGAAGGTGC